GGAACTTAAGTTATGCTCCAGAAACTGTTTTAAGTATCGAGGTAATAGTGACCTTGACCTTTGACCTTGTGACCCCAAAATCAATAGGGGTCTTCTACCCAATATGGACAATCATCCTATGAAGTTTGAACATTGTCGGTCAAATGGAACTTAAGTTATGCCCAAGAAACTGTTTTCAGTATCAAGGTAATAGTGACCTTGACCTTTGACCTTTTGACCCCAAAATCAATAGGGGTCTTTTACCCAATATGGACAATCATCCTATGAAGTTTGAACATTGTGGGCCAAATGGAACTTAAGTTATGCGCCGGAAACCAAATTGCTAACGGACAAATTGCTAACGGACGGAAACTGTTTTCAGTATCAAGGTAATAGTGACCTTGACCTTGTGACCCCAAAATCAATAGGGTCCTTCTACCCAATATGGGCAATCATCCTATGAAGTTTGAACACTGTGGGTCTAATGGAACTTAAGTTATGCTCCTGAAACTGTTTTCAGTTTTAAGGTAATAATGACCTTAACCTTTGACCTTGTGACCCTAAAATCAATAGGGGTCTTCTACCTTATATGGACAATCATCCTAAGGAGTTTGAACATTTAGGACCAAATGGAACTTAAGTTATGCTCCGGAAACCAAATTGCTAATGGACAAATTGCTAACGGACGGAAACTGTTTTAAGTATCAAAGTAATAGTGACCTTGACCTTTGACCCCAAAATCAATAGGGATCTTCTACCCAATATGGACAATCATTCTATGAAGTTTGAACATTGTGGGTCAAATGGAACTTAAGTTATGCTCCGGAAACCAAATTGCTAAGAGACGGACGGACGGACAGACGCCAGGGGGTATAACATAATATGCCCTTTCGGGCATATAAAAAATTAAATAAATTTGTCAAATACAAACATTTTAAACAGGAACATCTCAAAATTGTGTTAGACCTTATCCAAATTAATGATTATTTTACATCGGTAGATCTTGCTGGTGCATATTTTTCAGTTCCTATTCTTTCTGATTTTCAGAAATATCTAAAATTTCATTGGAAAGGATCAGTTTGGAAATTTGTTGTTCTACCTTTTGGTCTTAGTTCAGCTCCAAGGGTGATTACTAAAATTCTCAAGCCTAAGTTTTTCTCACAGAAGAAAAAAATTCTTGAAAAGGCACACAATCTGTTACAACAATCTGTTGTGTAAGTGCAAGAGTTAGCATCTTTTATTGGTTTGGTAATTAATACCTTCTATGCCATTTTAGAGGCCCCACTTCATTACAGTTCATTAGAAAGAAATAAAATCTGTGGTTTAGGTTCAGATAATAACTTTCAAAATAAAGTTCAGCTTTTTGAAGATAGTAAACATGAATTGATTTGGTGGTGTGATAATGTCAAAACAAACAAGAGGGCCATGATGGCCCTGAGGTCGCTCACCTGTATATAGGCCCCCCCCCCCCTCCCCCCAAACGTTGCAGGGCCAATTTAACCCAAGAGCTTTTATTTGCACAAACTTCGTAGAATAATAAGAAGATGTTTCATGCTAAACATCTAAGCTCTTGCTCATTGGGCTTTTTAAAAGAAGATTTTTTTTTAAGTTTTTACTATACACATATAGTTAAAAACAATGACACCCCTGGGGCCAGGCCAGTTTTGACCCCAGGGCTTTTATTTGAACAAACTTTGTAGACACTTACTAGAAGATGTTTCATGCTTAATATCTTAACTCTAGCTATTTGGGTTTTTTCAAAGAAGATTTTTTAAGTTTTTGCTATACACATATAAGGAAAATCAATGACCCCTGGGGCGGTGCCAATTTTGACCCCAGGGCTTTTAGCTAGCTATTTGGGTTTTTTCAAAGAAGATTTTAAGTTTTTGCTATACACATATAAAGAAAATCAATGACCCCCGGGGCTGGGCCAATTTTGACCCCAGGTCTTTTATTTGAACAAACTTTGTAGACACTCACTAAAAGATGTTTCATGCTTAATATCTTAACTCTAGCTATTTGGGTTTTTTCAAAGAAGATTTTTTAAGTTTTTGCTATACACATATAAGGAAAATCAATGACCCCTGGGGCGGTGCCAATTTTGACCCCAGGGCTTTTATTTGAACAAACTTGGTAGACACTTATTAGAACATGTTTCATGCAAAATATCTTAGCCCTAGCTCTTTGGGTTCTTTAAAAGAAGATTTTTTAAGTTTTTACTATATGCATATTAAAGGGAAAATCAATGACCCCCCGGGGCGGGGCCAATTTTGACCCCAGGGCTTTTATTTGAACAAACTTGGTAGACACCCATTAGAACATGTTTCATGCTAAATATCTTAACTCTAACTCTTTTGGTTCTTTAAAAGAAGATTTTTTAAGTTTTACTATATGCATATAGGGAAAATCAATGACCCCCTGGGGCGGTGCCTATTTTGACCCCAGGGCTTTTATTTGAACAAACTTGGTAGATACCTATTAGAACATGTTTGATGCTCAATATCTTAGCTATAGCTCTTTGAGTTCTTTAAAAGAAGATTTTTTAAGTTTTTACTATATGCATATAAGGAAAATCAATGACCCCCCGGGGCGGGGCCAATTTTGACCCCAGGGCTTTTATTTGAACAAACTTGGTAGACACCCATTAGAACATGTTTCATGCTAAATATCTTAGCTCTAGCTCTTTGGGTTCTTTAAAAGAAGATTTTTTAAGTTTTTACTATATGCATATAGGGAAAATCAATGACCCCCCGGGGCGGGGCCAATTTTGACCCCAGGGCTTTTATTTGAACAAACTTGGTAGACACTCACTAGAAGATGTTTCATGCCAATATATCTAAGCTCTAGCTCTTACGGTTTTTTAAAAGAAGATATTTAAAGTTTTTTCTTTCCGTTGCCATGGCAACCAGAGTTCTGCATGGAATTAAATTCTTTGAACAATTTTTAAAGGTGACCACCAAAGGAACATTCCTGTGAAGTTTGGATGAAATTGGCTCAGTGGTTTATGAGGAGATGTCATTTAAAGTAAAAGTTTACGGACGGACGATGGACGGTCGCCGGACGAAAAGCGATCACAAAAGCTCACCCTGTCACTTTGTGACAGGTGAGCTAAAAATGGAAAGAGAATACGACCACGAAAGGTAGATTTTATGTGTAGGAAGGATTCATCGCTTTTAGGATGGGGTTGTGTTGATCTGTTTTCTAATGAGTCAGCACAAGATCGCTGGTCAGTTGATGAATGTAAAAACCACATAATTTTTTTTAGAATTGACAGCAATTAATTTTGCTCTTCAATCTTTATATTATAATTGCACTGATGTTCTTATAGAATTTCAAAGTGACAGTGTAACAGCAGTGAAGTTATATAAATGACATGGGTGGTATGGCCTCATTATATTCAGATGGTTTATCAAGAACTTTATGGCAGTGGTGTCTTGATAGAAATATTTTCATTTCTGCTTCTTTTATAGCTGGGAAAGAAAATACCACAGCAGATTTCTATTCAAGAAATTTTTCTGATAGCACTGAATGGATGGATGCTTAATTAAACCTGTAATTTTTCAAAGGCTGTCTTAACATTTCTTTTTGCCTGATATTGATTTGTTTGCCTCTAGAATAAATAAGCAATTAAGTAAATTTGTATCTTAGTTCTCAGAATCAGGGGCTTTTTTCTATGATGCCTTTACAAGATCATGGCAATGTTTCTTGCCATATATTTTTCCACACTTTAATCTCATTAGTAAAGTTATAAACAAAGTCAATGAAAATAAGGTTGAGAAAGCACTTTTAAATTTGCCTTTTTCGAAATCTCAACCCTGGTTTCCTTTAGTGTTACACAGTATGATTTCTTTTCCTGTCAGGTTGCCATGTCACAAAGATGTACTGACATTGGCTCGCAGCAGATCTCCAAATCCTCTAGGGAAGTCATTAAATTTGATTTGTGTTATTATCTCAGGAAATCATTCATCAATAGAAACATTTCACCAGAAGCTGTTGAGGTCATCTGGCATGGAGACCAGGAACAAGAAAACAATATGGTTTGGCATGGCAGCGATGGTATTTTTGGTGTACTAAACAATATAAAAATCCCTTTTGCACAACTGAATTTGAAGTAGTGAACTATTTGTTTTCATTGTATCGTAATAAGAAATCTTATTCTGTTTTGAATACCCATAAAGCTATGCTTTTACAGACTTTATCCTTATTTGGTAATTCTTGGTGGAGTAATACTGTTGTTATTTCAAAGTTTATGAAAGGAAGTATACATGCTCAGCCTCTGGCGTTTACTCCAATAATGCCCCTCATCCATCACCAGGGCTTGGATGAGGGCACATTATCCCATAAACAGTAATATGGTAATACAATGGTTTACCTTCAACATAAATAATAAATATTTTTTGGTGAAATAGTTTTTGTTTTCTCACGTTAAATAACCAAAAAATATTTATGTTTTTCTAATACTTATCTTGTGGATAAAATGTTTGATATAAAGACTGTACAATGTTATATTGTATTTGTTGCTTGTCTATGTGTCTTATGTGAAAATATAAAAGTACTGCTACTGGTACTTAATTTGTCTTCCAAAATAAAGTAACTAGTATTGCAGTATTTTATGTAAAAAAATCTAGTACATATGTCCTGGTAATGGTACTGATTAAGTTGGCATGACCACATTTTGATCTAGTAAAATTTCTCATATAAATTTACATAATGTTTTTTTTTTTTTAAATCAGATTCATGATCTAAAAGTTTGATGATCATCCATAACTAAAATAAAATAAATAGATAGATTCATTAAAGATAATAGTTATCACTTTCAATATTAAATGTAAGCATAAGTAATTACTGCCTTGTTTCTGCAGTATACCAGTACCACTTTTTTGAGTTAATAATGCAGTACCAACTGCACAAACTTTTGAATGAGCAATTCAGTATCGGTACAAGTACTTGCAAAAATAGTGCAGAATGTACAGCAGTACCAGTTTCATTACTAGTAATGCATGTCTGCTATTGACAAATACCTTTTCTTCAAGGCTTGGGTCCAGAAAATAATTACATCTGTTATAATAGTCAAAATGCATTTCTGGTTGGTACATTTTAGCGTAATAGGTGATAGTAGCCAAACATGTTTCAACTGGTATTTTGCCTGTGATAATGACTTTTTCCAACTCATTCAGATTTATCACTGTCATAAATGTACGTGGTAGAAGATGATCCATCTCAAATAATGGCTCCAAATTTTCTAAAACCGTCTCCAGTTTTCTACAAAACAACACAAATATATACATATATTGTACAAAAAAAAGGAAATTTGTAAATGATAAAGTAGTCTCAAAATTTATTGTTGCGGTTGCCGTGATTTAAATGATAGTATTTAAAGATGTGATGTGTTAAATCTTTTTCAAACTAAAGAAGCTGATATACTTTGTCTGCAAGTGGAATAGTTTATGCTATTTTAGTCATAGAAAATCAAATGCCACGGGTGTAGCAATTTAATTCAGAAAGAATTTCAATATTAAAATTAATTCAGTTAAAACCGCTGATAATGGATGTTCTATATTTTACAGGTATTGTTTGACTTTAATATAAGTCAATATTTATGCACCTAACATAATTATATAGTCCAAATTCTTAAAAAATATTTTTGTTGATATTGATACCTTTAATGAAAATGAATAATTTGCTTGGACTATACTATAATCTAGTACAAAATCCTAAATTAGATATCATAACAAGATAATTGTTTGTAAAACAATTGTATGCCCCCTACCGGCAGCCAATTAGTCATGTTATCAGGTTATTATGCATGACTTCTGACCCAGTGAACAATTAATAAGGGTTATCTAGTATCTACTGGTCATGACTAGTCACAAAGTAATTATTATTGTGACCCCATAGGTTGTGTGCAGCAATTTAAGTTATAAGAAATCTTACCAAATAATATATGCATAAATTTTATGAATCATGTAGGCCTCATTAATGGCAGGCAAGTTGTGATATTACATAAGACCTTCAAATGGGTATACCAAAAGCATTTTTAGTTTAATATAACAATATCAACCAAGGCAACTTGAGTTGTTGAGTTATTAGTCAGAAACTGTCATTAAGTACAAGGTCAATATGACATTGACCACTTGACCCCAAAATCAATAGGGCTCATCTATTGGTCATGACCAATCATCATACCAAGTTTGAAGTTCCTAGGCCTAAGTGTTCTTTAATAATTGATCGAAAACCGTTTTTACCTACTAGGTCATTGTGACCTTGACCTTTCACCCCAAAATCAATAGGGGTCATCTGCTGGTCATGACCAATCATCATACCAAGATTGAAGTTTCTAGGCCTAATTGTTCTTTAGTTATTGATTGGAAACCGTTTTTACCTACAAGGTCAATGTGACCTTGACCTTTGACCCCTTGACCCCAAAATCAATAGGAGTCATCTGCTGGTCATGACCAATGATCATACCAAGTTTGAAGTTCCTAGACCTTAGCATTCTTTAGTTATTGATCGGAAATCGTTTTTACCTACAAGGTCATGTGACCTTGACCTTTGACCCCTTGACCCCAAAATCAATAGGGTTCATCTGCTGGTCATGACCAATCATCATACAAAGTTTGAAGTTTCTAGGCTTAAGTGTTCTGGAAACTATTTTTACCTACTAGGTCAATGTTACCTTGACCTTTGGCCCCATTGACCCAAAAATCAATAGGGTTCATTCATCTGCTGGTCATGACCAATCATCATACCAAGTTTGAAGTTCCAAGGCCTAAGCGTTCTTTAGTTATTGATCCAAAACCGTTTTTACCTACAAGGTCAATGTGACCTTTGACCCCTTGACCCCAAAATCAATAGGGGTCATCTGCTGGTCATGACCAATCACCATGCCCAGTTTGAAGTTCTTAGGTCTATGTGTTCTTTAGTTATAATCAGACCAATGTCCAGGATATTTCGATCAAAACAGTAGCTACTTGTGTTAAAAAGATTTTGCTATATTTAGCTCCTTTGACCTAATTTTTTATCAGAGATGACCCTTATTGAAACTCATGCGAGCAATTACCTAAACAAGCATCCTGACTAAGTTTGATGACAAGTGAGTAAAAAAAAGACCACTAGAGTTTTAACAAGGTTTTTCTATTTTTAGCTCTTATCACTTAGTTTTTCATCCTTGATGACCAATGTTCGAACTCATCTATGCAAATACCTAGACAAGCATTCTGACAAAGTTTGATGATGATTGAGGCAAAAATGTGACCACTAGAGTGTTATCAAACAAATGTGGACGGACAACGGACATTCAACGATCCTAAAAGCTCACCCTGAGCTAACTGATATTGATGTTAGCTACAAGTCTGATCATTCAATTATATCTTTAGATATTTTTTTTTTGTTCACGTGAATCATGGAAGAGGTTTATGGAAATTCAATAACGGAGAAAAATCTTCTACCTAGTTTTTTAAGTTTAATGAAATCACATTGCTCAGACAAAGTCATACCTTTTATAGAAATGGATGATGGAACATTTATTTATCACCAAAAGTATATATTAGAAAAAAACTTGTTGTTATTATGAAAATTCATATTATGAGGTCAATTTGACTGCAGAATCAAACATTGATAGAGAATTGAGAAATTGTGTAGATACTAAGTTGACAAATGATGAATCTCTAAAGCTTGAAGGTTTACTCTCATATGATGAAGTTTCTTTAAAGATCCTGTAACACAATTTTTTTATAGTTTTATTATATAAATATGATGCTCAAATTAAAATTTGTCAATATTGTAAGTTCCAATAAGCATAATTTATAAAGATATTACCATTTAACTTTTCATCTAAATAAAGGGAGGTTATTACAAATTTATTTTCTATAAATTCTAAGTCAAATTTTCCAATAAGAAATGAGTGCATATAATTAATTGATTACATATAATGTGCAAAAATATTTGCAGTACATATTTTACATATTCATCGTTGTTTGAAAATTGTTTTATTTGCATAGTTATATACATATGTAATTTCTTGTAAGTGTGGTATACACAGTTATAATATCAATTTCAAAACATACAGGATCTTTAACAATTAAAATAATATGAAAAATATTACAAGCCCAGTAACAAACTTTTCTAACACGTTTTGGAACCGAAGGGGCATTTTGTAGTTAGGACTATAAATTATGGAAATTATGTAAATACTATTTCAAGAAGTCAAAAACTAAGAACAGTAACATTTATTCCAAAAGAAAATAAACCAAAACAATTTTTGAAAACTTGGAGATCAATAACTTTATTAAAATGCTGTTTATAAATTGGCATCTGGTAGTATATCCAACAAAACAAGAGCTGTCACCCAAGTGACAAATGCCCCCGAAAAGGTTTCTTATTATATAATAAGCATGCAAATATTATGAAAAGAAGAGAATGAAAGTAACTAATTGCTGAATAATATTGTTCTTTGTATCATTGTACCTGTAATCTCTTATTGTGATAGCATGAACCTTCAAAATATAAGTGTGACCTTGACCTTTGAAGAAGGGACGTAGTTCTTAGACGCAGCAAAATCTTGTTATGAGATACATTTGTGCCAAATTATTTCAAAATCCCTCAATGCATGACAAAGTTACAGTCTGGACATGATTGTTGTGTAAGTGGGGACACACGGACAGACGGATATGAGCCTTACCCGGGTGTAGATTTTCCAGCGTACGTCTGGAAGAGAGGCTGGTAAACCCTGGAAAACTATGGAAAAGCATAGAATTCCATGGAAATTCATGGAGAATTGGTATTTTTTCCATGCTATATGGACTTTTCTGGTCCAGCCATTTCCAGCATTGCTGGAAATTGGCTGGACATTTGTGGTTAAAGACTGGAAAACCATGGACTTTACTCCCATGTAGCATGGAAAGTGGAACTTACATTTTTTTAATGCTGGAAATGTGTTAAACTTTCTCTAAGTATGCTGGAAAAACTTGTAAAAATTACAACAAGAAATCTTACTGTATATATTCAGCTCAATATTGTAAATTTACATAGAAAATATAAAATCATCATTTATTTTAATACAATTTCTGTAAATGATTTGAAATTTCACACTTTATACATTCATGTAGTTGGAAAAGGGTATCTCAGAAAAATGTCTATGCTAAAGATGTAAATGAATTGATTGTTAAATACATATTAAATATTATTAATTAAATAAATCTACATGAAGTTTATGTACAATGAAATAATATCCATTTAATTACAGGCTTTAAGTTAACTATAAATTAATTAAAGTCTGTGATTCAATCATTCAGACACTATAATAATCCAGATGGGATTGCATTGCTTGCTATTTTTAAATTCTAAGAATTCATGTTTTTGGATAACAATAAATAAATAAATAAACAAAACAAAAACAGTGCATGAAAGAATCTCATATATATTCTATATTAAATTGATCAATATATATTGCTTTTATTTAGGAAAATAAATACTACATCCACTGAGATTTTACGCTACACAGATCAGAGCTCTGATATAACTCATTGACCAGCATTTTCCAACCATCTATGCATGACTAATTTACTCCACTGGTCAATCCGACAGATCAGGCTGTTCCATGAGATTATTTTGGGGAGAGATAACATTATAAATTTCAGAATGCAGAATGTGTCTAGGACATTGCAATCTTTTTATACCCCCACCACAAAATGTGGGGGGGGGGCTATAATGGATTCGCTTTGTCGCGTCGGTCGGTCCGTCTCCATTTTCGTGTCCGCTCTATAACTCCTATACCAATTGAAGGATTTTCTTCAAACTTGGCTCAAATGTTCACCTCAACAAGGGGATGTGCAGAACCCATATTGCCCATGTGTCAGTTCAAGGTCAAGGTCACAATTGAAGGTCAAATATCAAACACTATCAAATATTACACAGTATGTCGTGTCCGCTCTGTAAGTCCTAAACTACTTGAAAGATTTTCTTCAAACTTGGCTCAAATGTTCACCTCAACCAGGGGATGTGCAGAACCCTTGTCGCCCATGTGTCAGCTCAACGTCAAGGTCACAATTGAAGGTCAAATATCAAACAATTAAATATTACACAGTATGTCGTGTCAGCTCTGTAAGTCCTACACTACTTAAAAGATTTTCTTCAAACTTGGCTCAAATGTTCACCTCAACAAGGGGATGTGCAGAACCCATGTTGCCCATGTGCCAGCTCAAGGTCAAGGTCACAATTGAAGGTCAAATATCAAACAATCAAATATTACACAGTATGTTGTG